AGTTTAATTTTTATAGTCTCTTGAAGTTTCTCCAGTCCTTAAGTATTGAAAAAACAAATCACACTATAGTCTGTTTACTTTTTATAACTAATACCTGAAATGATAAGAAATATAAATACAAATAATCACCCAAATCAATATCAACACACAATAAGAATTCAAGAGTCATTGATGTGTAGATTGACGGTCTGCTCTGTGATTTTAAGGCCAACAAATCTCCTATGGATCTCGACCTTTTTGTTCTCCACTTCTCCTCATCATCTCCTCAAGTTGTTTTTTTATATCCTCTTTCTTATCTTTATATAAATAAATGTTTTTTTATTAAAGTATTGAAGCTTTTCCATAAATAAACGTTGAAGCTTCTTTTTTCCTCTCAATGAATAAATGATTTATTGATAAAGTTATTGAACACTTCAACCTGTCCTTATTTTCATATTTATAGTCTGCTATTTTTTTATCATGTTTTTTGGTGTTCATTATTTTTTATAGTCCTTGAAGATTCTCCCTAAGACTTCAAGCTTATGAAATCTCCATAACTATTCATGTTTCCTTGATATTTTGTAGGAAACTACTATCCATGCCACTGTAAGAAAAACTCTGGTGGGAACTTTTGAGAAGAAAATAAAGGAAGGATCAGTATATGTATTTGCTTACTTCGGCGTCGGCAATAGCAGTGGATATTATTATCGCACTTCACGATATGACTTTCGCCTAAATTAATTTCCAAGCAAGGACGACTGTCACTGAAACCAAGACTACCTCTAAAGTTCCAGAGAAGACAATTTCCAATAGTCTTATGTTTTGCTATGACTATTAAAAAAAGTCATGGTCAAACATTGTCATTTGTTGGATTATTTTTAATCAAGTCAGTGTTCACTCATGGTCAGCTTTATGTTGCTGTTTCGCGAGTGAAGACAAAGACAGGATTAAAAATATTAGTCTTAGATGACAATGGAAATCCTAGCAGTCATACAAAAAATGTTGTATACCCTGAAATCTTTCAAAAAATTTGGTATTAAAGCAAACTTTGTTGTGTGTAGATTTAATTCCTCAAATATTATTCTTTTTACTTTGCCTTTCTTTTCTGTGTTATTATAAATCATGCATGAGGTATATTTCCTTTATTCCAGAAAAAAATATTGCATTGAATAAATTCAGAATCGACAAGATATTCGTAACCCGTAAATTGCACGGGTAGGAATACTAGTAAGTAGAAAAAAAATAAGTTGAACGGAACGCAGGCTAAGTCATGAATGAAGTAATACCATCTCCGTCTTTAAATATTTGTCTAGTTTTTTACTTTTTGTAGTAAATAATTTTCAATCTTTGATTTATAATTAAATAAAATATATATTACGGAGTATATATTTTTTAGACAAAATATTTTTTAGGCTACTTTATACAACAAATTTAATAAAACTATATTTGTATCATATCAGATATCATTTTCATTTAATTTATAGTCAAAGCTTATCAACTTTGACCATAAAAACTCAAAAGTGGACAAATACTGAGTGATGAAGGGAGTACTCCGTAATAATAATAATAATAATAATAATAATAATAATAATAATAATAATAATAATAATAATAATAATAATAATAATAATAATAATAATAATAATAATAATAATAATAATAATAATAATAATAATAATAAAGATATAGAAAAAAATTAAAGTAGGAATAAAATATTGAAAATATACCAAAATAAAAATTTCATTTTTTATTCTCGAAATAAGAGTTAAAAATCCATTTACAATGTCAATCATAACCGTATACATTATCAAAAAGTATTAGAAAATGTTCATGTATAGTGCTGCATTACCAAAATGGGAAATCCTATTTTGGGGATAAAAACATAGAGCTCCCAGTTTGATACTTTCTCTATGTTTTACTTCTATTTAGGGTGATTTCTTCAAAAGATAAGTATCATCCCAAGCAAATTAAGCTATAGTCATTAATTGTCTCTTAGCGCAGTTGCTAGGAATTGAACTTGAATTTATCTCTTTGGCACCCATTGCTCAATGAGATGAGTTACGCCCAAACCACAAAATACCGTAAATACCAGTACTATCTTCATTCCGAGCTTATTGCACCAATACCCCGTGTGGTTTGGTAAATGTGCACTGTTGCTCCCATAATTTCAAAGCTTACATCGTTGTCCCTCAAGGTTGTGATATTACTACGCTAATGCCCATGAAGACACAATTATCCTTCAAATATTAATTCAATAGCTCCGCTGTCCCTTATGGTTTTAGAAATGGCCCCCAAGTCCTCTCTCATTTTTATTTATTGTTTTTCTTTTTTCTTTTCTTTTTTTATAAAGAAAAGAAAAATGTTTGTGTTTGAAATAATAAATTATTTTCAATACTATTTTTAAAAAAAATTTGTGTTTCAAATAAAAAATTTCACATATCCTTCATTTTCAAATTAAATATTTTCTTTTTTGTCTAAAAAAAGTTTTTATTTTTTAATTTGAATATATATGACAGGACCTAAATAATACTAACTTGGGTCTTTTAATTTTAATATTAGTTAGTTCTATGTTAATAACATTTTTTAGAATGATGCACAAGAGATTTCTTCATGACTTAATTTTTCGTATTCTATAGAAGTATTTTTTCAATTACTTTTCTTTTTCTTTATTGTAATTTCTATTCTTTTTTCTTTTATTTTAATTTTGATAAACATAAAAGAAACAATATAAAATTATTCTTAAAAAAACAAAAAAGGGAAAAAAAGTAAATAAAAGAATCATAAAATGAACAAAAAATGAGAAATGAGCTTTAGTGTAAAAAGATGGTTATTGATTTTGTATCATGATAACTAATCAATAAAGACCTCTTTTGGACAAACATGAAAATATTTAGTTTGAGACAAATGAAGTATACATTAATTCTTTTTATTTTATATATATATATATATATATATATATATATATATATATATATATATATATATAAATAGTGTTTTTTCCATTGATCTATTTTAGAAGTTCATAAAATAAATATGTTTACACAAACGTAGTTATCTTTTCTAAATAATTGGAAAAATTTTAAAATTTACGCAACCATGTATAAGAACACTTATATATATTATACTGCATGACAATTCTAATAAACATAATAGTAGCATAGGTGGTAAGAACCTATGGGTAAATTTCACAAATGGTACCTGAACTTTAGCTGGAATTTCGAAGTAGTACTTGAACTTCAAATCCTTTCACAAAAATCCCTGAACTTACACAATCCTTTCACTAATGAGCCATTAGCCCGTTTCTAGGTTAACTTCCGGTCATTAGAGCCAAATTCGAATTTTATATATTTTAAAATTTTCAATTTGACCCCATTTCTTCTTTTCTTTTCTTCCACGCCCCGCCGTCGCCGCCCGCCGGTCAAAGTCGCCGGAAAATGAACTTTTTCCAATTCCGGCGGGACCAATGTCATTCTATTCGTCTTGAGACGAGGATCAATAATATCCAAACCATTTTGTCTAATTTGGCCTGTAACTTCTCGAATCTGAATTTTTCTACTCGAAAAAACCCTAAAATTCGAAATTGGATCCAAAATTGGGGGTTTTGCAAATCTTCATCAAATCTTGCAATTGAGGGGTCCTTGGAGGTCGCCCGGATGCCACGACTGCATTGGAGTTGGTTCCCGCCGTCAATTTCGCCGGAGTTGGCTGGAAAACGCTCCGACCCGCCGGCGGTTTCCGGATTTTTGTGAAAGAATTTGAAGTTCAGGTACCACTTCGAAATTCCAGCTAAAGTTCAGGTACCATTTGTGAAATTTAACCAAGAACCTATACTTGGAAGTTGAAGATCAGGGATCGAATTCTCTTGCGTGCTAAACTTAAATTTTTTTAAATAAAAGTAAACGGTTTTATAGGATTTTAATCCAAACCCGCGGACTAACGGAGCCAACTCAGGTCATCCGGTTCACCAGTTCCCACCGGGTTTGAACGGGTTTTCCTGAAAACGATTCTGAGCATGAACCAAACCAGATACTTTTTCGGGTCGCGGTTCAACTGGTTAGACCAATCGATCCCGTCTGGTTTTCATTACAGTGACTTTAATAGGCTCCAAATGACACAATGCTCCTTTATGTTTCATAGAGTTCATCTCATTTAGTTTTACTATGTAATATTAAAGAAAAGGTATCTAGTCACTCTAGCAAAGTTTATAAGGGAAGCAAATGCAATCTTTTACAAACGACTACAAGATCACCAATCTAGTCTACTTGAATTCACTATTTCAAACTTTATACAAATTTTTTTTCATATCAATAATGCAAGTAATCGTCCTTGCCATCGTAAAATAAGAGCACCTAGTTTTTCTTTAAAAATTGGAGCGAAAGGATCAATAAATAACCGGGTTTCAGCGGGGTTTCCTGAAAATGATTCTGAGCATAGAACCAAACCAGATACTTTTTCGGGTCGCGGTCCAACTGGTTAGACCAATCGATTCCATCTGGTTTTCATTACAGTGACTTTAATAGGCTCCAAATGACACAATGCTCTATGTTTCATAGAGTTCATCTCTATTATTTCACTATGTGATACTAAAGAAAAGGTATCTAGTCACTCTAGCGAAGCTTATAAGTAAAGCAAATGCAAGCTTTTCCAAACGACTACAAGATCACCAATCTAGTCTACTTGAATTCACTATTTCAAACTTTATACAAATTTTTTTCATATCAGTAATGGAAGTAATCGTCCTTGCCATCGTAAAATAAGAGCACCTAGTTTTCCTTTAAAAATTGGAGCAAAAGGATCAATAAATAACCATAGGCACACCATTGTTTCGTATTAAATTATAATGTTATACGAAATTCATTGCGATTGTAATGAACATAAATCTATCTGATCTTTAGATAAAAAGGAATTAGCAAAGGATATGATTAAATTTAGTAAATGTTTTAATCATACGCAGTGAATGAATTATGTATGAGAAATTTATTTATATTCCCTGTTCCTAAATCATTTACCTATTACACAAAATAAAGTAAAATTTCAAGTTTTTTCAATTCATTTTATTTAAAAATTGATATATAAATAAAAAATAAAATTTACATATTTAAAAAATAGATCAAAAGTTCTACAAAATAAAAGATAAGAAATATATTTTACTTCATCAAATAGTCAATGAAAATATGCAAATAAAACAAAATTCCCATTAATTTTGAATAGTAATATGTATAAATCATTTAGTGACAAAGAGAGTACAAAAATTAAAATTTTGATATGGACTAAAAAGCACACATTATGATGTAGCTAGCTTCTTTATAAAACCAAAGAGTAATAATAATGATAAGTTAGATAGAAGAAGCAAAACCTTGGCTGACTAAATAAAGGCAGTCGGGCATTTGCATCAATTAATTAGGTTACCCAAAAAAGAGGCTAGAACTCCTCCACATAACAGCACAGTTGAGAAGCTGCCAATTACAAAAGAGCAATACTTGCAACAAAAGCGTAAATGGGCATTCATTCATTCCAACCACACCCAAAGAGATGATAGATAGAGTGAGCCGAGGCCATTGTTGCTTGCCGTCTATGACTATACCCACCCATCATATATATATATATAAATAGGGTCATATTAATTTAGATTTAGATAAAAACAAGAGGGTGAGAGGAGTTTAAGCCCAATCATCTGTACCAATGGATAGCTGCTCAAAGCCATAGTTTTCAGCAGCTGGAGGAGGAGGAGGAGGATAATACCCACCATCAAAAGAAGCTCCATAGGTGAAGTTGTTATCACTGCCACCGTTAGCGGCAGCAGGGTAGTCGTCATAGTAAGAAGGAGCAGCTCCTCCACCTCCATTTCCGTAGCCACCACCACCATAACCACCACCACCGCCGCCAGAATAGTTGTTGTTGCGGTACCCATTTGACCTTCTGTAGTGACCATCACCGCCGTACGGGCTCTCCTCTGCGTATCCATTAAGCCATGGTGGTATCTCTTGATTGGCTCCCTTCATCAAGTCAACAAGATCCTTTGCAATGGGAGCATTCTTGGCAGTGAAGAATGCAGTTGCCAGACCGGATTTGCCAGCACGACCCGTCCTCCCTATCCTGTGGACATAGTGCTCTATGTTCCTTGGCAAGTCGAAATTGATCACGTGGGAAACGTTCGGAATGTCCAGCCCACGCGAAGCCACATCTGTTGCCACCAAAATTGGCGTGCGCCCGCATTTGAATGATTTGAGAGCTCTCTCGCGTTCCTTCAAATCAAATTGCCCAAAAAATCAGTTCAATAAAACCTCAATTGGGAAGAGGGGGGAGGGAGGGAAGGAGCTTGTAAAAAAGAAAGACCCACCATCTGTTCTTTATCACCATGAATGGCCACAGCTTTGAAGCCCATTCTCATCAGCCAGTGTTCTAAAGCATCAGCTCCTCTTTTGGTCTCCACAAACACCAGTGTTAATCTCTGTCAGATTTTAATCATTCCAACACACACATATATGAGTACATGAGAACCAATGTATATGTAAATGTAGAGTACACTCAAGTGTAATCAACTCTCCATATACCTTTCCATCACTCTTATTTGCAGCTTGCTCCTGAAGAAGCTTCCTCAAGAAATCTCTCTTCCCCGGATCCTCTACTAACTCCACCTTTTGATCGATCCGATCAGTGCTAGACCCTACCTTTCCAGCAGATAAGAAAATGTAATTTGATAGGAACTCAGATGCTAGGCCCTACAAGAAAGAAACAAAGAGGAGAGTTAATGAGAATTAAAACCATAAAACCATAGAAGATTTGGATAGATAAAAGAAAGACTCAAAGAGAAGAGTGTGAAACAGGCCTGAATCTCAGCAGGGAAAGTGGCACTGAAGAGCATGGTCTGCCTCTTCCCAGGTGGAGGCATATCCTCAAGAATGGTTCTAACTTGGCGCTCAAATCCCATGTCCAGCATCCGGTCAGCTTCATCCAAGGCCAGATACTTAACTCCTCTCAATGAAACTCTTGATCTCTCCATCATGTCAACCAACCGTCCCGGTGTAGCAACCAAGATGTCTACTCCTCTTTCAAGGTTTCGCAACTGCAAACAGCACATGCCCACAGCGTATGATAACACAATAAAACTTCACAGATAACAAAAACCGACGAAGGGTTCATCAGAAAACAGCAACTCAATGGCATAATGATATACAAACCTGCTGAGACATTGGGGCCCCTCCATAGGCAACCACAATTTTCAACCCTGTCTCACGAGAAAACTTATTTGCCTCTTCGTGTATCTACAGCAATCAAACCCCCATGGTGGGCATCATCAGCTCACATATATATGACATATGAGACAGTAATAGGTTAAGAGGGGAAGCCATTAGCCCATTATTGTCCAAACAGTAAAAGGAAGACAAATGTATCAAAACTTTTCATGTATATAGAGACATATCATGCAGAAAATAAGATTAGCCAGCTTGTAGAGGGTTACATTCATGTATTGATGATGGTGAAGAACTAGCAATAATACAGATGAGAAGAAACAAGCAAGTAATAACCTGGCAAGAAAGCTCTCTGGTTGGAGCCAGAATGAGAGCCAGTGGAGAAGCGGCTCTGGAATTCGGGTACCCTCTTCTGCCGTCAAAGGCGCCGTTAGGGCTCCGAGAGTGCGGGTTTGTGAGAATACCGTTGATAATGGGGAAGCAAAAGGCGGCCGTCTTGCCGGAGCCAGTTTGAGCGCAGGCCATAACGTCCCTCCCGGTCATGGCCACCGGAATGGCGTACCTCTGTATTGGCGTCGGCTTTGCGTACTTGCATCTGGTGATGTTCAGGCGGAGGGCCTCGGAGATGTCGAGATCAGAGAAGGAAGTCACCGGTTCCGGGACATCCTTCCCGGTAGCCTCCACGGGAACGTCGTCGTACGCTTTCGCGTTGGGCTCAGCCGGTTCCTCCTCTCCCAGATCATCCGCGTCCCAAAAAGGGTCCGGGTCAGAACGATCGTTGAAAACCCGGTTCATCGGACGGCCCAGCCCACGTCCTCTTCCTCCACCGCGGCCTCCCCTCCCACGGGAGCCTCCGCCGCGTGTGGAACGGCCGAAGCGCTCGGCGTTGTCATAGAAGGCATCGGAGACGGGATTCCGAGTTTGGGGGGGTTGGTAGAAGCGGCGGGAAGGGCGGGGAGGGTGGGTGGACTCAGAGTAAGAACCGTTCCACGTACGAGCCGACATTTCCGGCAACAAAAAAGCAGCTGAAAAACGAAGAAAGTGTAACGAAAGGGGAAGGAACGAGAGAGATAGAGATGAAAGGACTAGAGAAAGAGAGACGCCATTGTTGTTGCAGGAGAAGAAGAAGAAGAAGAAGAGGCAAAAAAGGGCGGCGCTGGGGTGGGGGAGAAATAGGGTTTTAGAGAGAGAGAGAGAGAGGAATGGCCAATGGGGTTTAGAGAGAGAAGTTCCGATGGAGTGGGGAATGGGGAAATGGGGGAGGAGAAGGTGGTGGTGTGGTGTGGTCTCTGGTTACATGGGGAAGAGGGAGGGGCGAGGCGAGGTCTGTTGTGTAATACGGTTTTGGTAATGTTGATCCCCACTCTCGCTGCCTCGCGCGTCACCCTCACGCTCTGCCCGTTGTTCTGCTTTGAGTACAAAACAACTGGGCCGGGCTTTGTGCGGGGTTGGATCGATTTTTATTACCGATATTCACTAAAAATTGCAACGCAGTACGGGAGTATATTTGTCCCGCTCCGTCGTCCCCCCTCGATACAAACTACAAACCACCTTCATACTTTGTTAAAACTTACTCCCTTGTATATTTTTCTTACACTTTCATTTTTTTTTAGGTTTTTTAATTTTATATTTTGATCATTAGTATTTTTATTTGTGTATAAATGTAACTTGTAAAAAATTTAATATTCCAAAACTGAATTCTAAAATAAATCTATTTGTTTCTGTTAACTTTTCTAAGAAAAAGAAAATTTTATTTGATGGAAAATTCAGAATATTATCTCAACCCGTAAGCCAAGAGAGGTACACACACACGAAGCTGAGTCAGAATCTGAAAAGGCATGGAGAGATAACTGATCTGATCCTTTCATCAGAATCCCTTGGTCTATGGTACCAAGGAGATAATGAAGGAGATGGATGGCACCTTGCAAGTGAGATTCCTCAAGATGTTGCATGAATTGACTTAAAAGCTGGACTGAATAGGAGATGTCAGGCCGAGTATGAGTGAGGAAATTAAGCTTTCCTATCAGGCTTCTGTAAACTGCTGGATCAAAACAAGGAGAAGAGTCACCATATTGAAATTTAATGTTTTGAGGGAGAGGTGTTTTGAAAGGTTTGCCATGCAGACAGTTGTGTTCAGCAAGAAGCTCCTGTGTGAATTTCCTTTGAGAGAGAACAATTCCTTCAGAAGTATAAGAGAGCTCAAAACCAAGGAAGTAATGTGCAAGACCCAAGTCTTTGATTGTGAAGCTGGCATCAAGAAACCTTTTGAGGGAAGTAATAGCAGCAGGATCTGAACCGGTGACGAGAATGTCATCAACATACACAGCAGCAAGAGTAATGTGTGCACTGGTGTACTTAATGAACAAACTAGGGTCAGATTTGGATTGAAGGTATCCTTGGCTGCGAAAAGCACTGGATAGCTTGTGAAACCACTGCCTACTAGCTTGACGTAGGTCATACAGTGATTTCTTGAGTCGACAAACTTTAGTGGAGGGATTGGGAAAACCCAGGGGAAGCTTCATGTAGACTTCCTCAGTGAGGTCACCATGCAAGAATGCATTGTTGATGTCAAGTTGAGAAAGTTCCCAGCGCCTGGAAGTAGCAAGGGCTATGAGGCATCGTATGGTAGACATTTTCACAACAGGTGAAAATGTTTCAGTGAAATCAATACCATAGCACTGATGATTCCCTTGAATTACAAGTCTGGCTTTAAACCTCTCTAACGTCCCATCAGACTTGAGCTTGACTTTTTAGACCCATTTGCTGGAAATAGCCTTCTTACCAGAGGGGAGATGAACTAGCTCCCAAGTATCATTAGCCTGTAAAGCTATTATTTCTTTGTTCATAGCAACAATCCATCTAGGATCAAGGAAAGCCTCAGAATATGAAGTGGGTTCAGTATAAGAGCAGATATTAGTAAAAAAAGCTTGATGATGATGAGGCAGAGTATTTAAAGAAACAAAATTACACCAATGAGAAGACAGGGCAGTGGGAGGAGAGTGTGATGGAAGAGTAGGGCAAATGTATTGGTGTAGGTATGATGGAGGTTTCCTGACCCTAGTGGATATTCTGGATGGAAGAGGATCGGGAGTAAGAGTATGAAGGGAGCAGTTTGGAGACACCAAAGAGGAAGAAGATGGGGTATCTGTGGAAGGTGAAGAAAATGAAGATGAAGATGAGGTGGGGAGTGGTGTAGTAGCAGGAGGTGTATGGATATGAGTATCACAGAAAGGATGAAAGATGATGAATATGTCAGGTGGCAAATTAGGTAAAATGGAAGAGGAAGTAGAAATGTGATGATAGGGGTAATATTGTTCATGGTATTTGACATTTTTGCTGTAAAAGACCTGCCTTGTACTTAAATCAAGAAGTTTGTATGCCTTTTTGTGAAAAGGATAACCAAGGAACACACAAGGAATAGCTCTAGGTTCAAATTTGGTTCTATGACAAGACAGAGAAGTGGCAAAGCACAGACATCCAAAAGATCTGAGATGGTCATAGGTGGGAGCAGATTGAAAAACAATCTCATAAGGAGTTTTGTTACTGAGAAGAGAAAGAGGGAATCTGTTTATCAAGTAACATGCAATGAGGACACAATCACCCCAATATTTAGTAGGAAGTTTAGATTGGAAGAATAAAGCCCTGACAGTTTCAAGAAGATGCTTGTGTTTTCTTTCAACAACCGCATTTTGTTGAGGTGTGTCAACACAAGTGGTTTGATGAATGATACCATTAGAGTGATAAAAGGATTGGGCAGAAGTGTCATCAAATTCTTTTCCATTATCTGAACGAATGACCTTAACTTTCACATAGAATTGTGTTTGAATGTAAGTAATATAACTAGTTAAGGCTGGAAAGGCACAAGATTTATGAGAAATCAATTGTATGTATGTCATTCTGGAAAAATCATCTACAATGGTAACAAAGAATTTGTGCCCAGAATATGTTGTTGTTTTATATGGACCCCAAATATCAACATGCAACATCTCAAAAATGAAAGTAGTTTTTATTGAACTAGAGATTAAAGGCAGTTTATGCATACGTGCTTGTGGACATATGTGACAAATGGATGAAGAAGTAACAGTACAAGGAATGGGATCAATGTACTTTATTCTATTGTAAGGTAAATGGCCTAGTCTACAATGCCACAAGTCACTTTCAGACATACAAGATTTAGAGGAATGAAAAGAGACATGTAAAGTTGAGGGTCTGTTCTGCGGAACAAAGTACAACCCCCCATGCTGTTTACCAACCAGCAGAGTGTTTTTCTTCACATGATCCTGGATCAAACAATGGGAAGGATTAAATATTAATTAACAGGACATATGTGAAACTAGTTTCTGGACAGAAAGAAGATTGAAATGAAAATCTGGAACATGAAGAACATCAAAGAGTTCAATTCCATTTTGTAACTGAACAGTCCCTACATGTAGAACATTGGCCTTTTGACCATTTGGTATGGTGATTGAACAAGGTTTAGGATAGGCTTATAGGAAGAGAAATTACTTATATGTGGGCTTATGTGATCTGAGGCTCCACTGTCAATGATCCATTGAGAATTATCATATGAAGAAAAGAAACAATGGCTATTACCTGCTAGATGAGCACTTGAGGCTAGATGAGTAGAGAGAAACCCTGGAGCTATGCCATCATCGTTGTCATGTGAACTGTCTTTGCTAAGAAGAGCAATAAGCTGATTATACTGAGAGTTAATAAGAGTCATAGGCAACTCAACAGAAGAAGAGGCCTGACTTGAATGAATGTTGTGTCCATGCATATCTCTGTCATCTGCAGAAAAGACATTCCCAGCAACCTTCCTTCCTTGAGATAAATTGTGTTCTGTTGATAAGCCATTCCCCTTATTATTCTTGGGATATCCATGCACCTTGAAACACCTATCAAGAGAATGGCCATAGATCTTGCAATGTTGACAGAAGAATTTAGATTTTCTCTCACTAGGAGTGGTTCCATACACTGGTTTATTAGAAGGAATGCTGGAAGTATGATGCATAGAGGCCAAAGCACTAGAATTAGCAGCCATAGGAACAGAGTTACTGCAATCTCTCTGAGTTTCTTCTTGAGTAATAAGCTTATAAGCTTGGTTCAAGGTAGGAAGAGGCTTCATCATCAAAATATTGCCTCTAGCAGTCTTAAAACTGTCATTAAGTTCCATTAAAAACTGCAAGAGTTGTTGATCCTGGATAAGCTTCATGTAGCTCCCTGCACCATCACATCTGCAGTGTTGTAATGTCATCATCTTTAGGTACACATCCCAAAGGCCCTTCAACTTAGTGAAGTATTCAGATATAGAATCTGATCCTTGAACCAGTGTGATTATCTCCTTGTGAAGTTGGAAGAGCTTAGGTGCATTAGTTTGACCAAAACGTTCAGCAAGATCGTCCCAAATCTCTCTGGCAGTTTCGCAGTATAATACGCTATTTGCAATTCCCGATTCAACAGAATGTAATATCCAAGAGATCACCAAATTATTACATCGATTCCACTGGGCAAACAAAGGAGATAAAGATTCCGGTGCCTTCGAACTTCCATTCACAAAACCTAGCTTGTTTCTCGCGCTCAATGCGATCTCAGCAGAGCGCTTCCATTGTGGAAAATTTTTGCTGTTTAATTTCTCAGAAGCCAGCAAGAAACTTGGCGATTCAGTAGGATGTAAGTACAGTTCACTTTGAATATCTATTGAAGCTCGTGTTGAAGGATTTTCGGCCGCCATATATGTGAAGAAAAGAAACAGAATAAGGAAGGAGATCAAATTTGAAGAGAGAAATGAACCTGAATGATCATGATGATGAAACGATTCTAGAGATGGTTAGGAATCGGAAAAAAAATGAAGATCATAGATGGATTTTCCGATCATCTTCAAGCTCTGATACCATGTTAACTTTTCCAAGAGAGAGAAAGTTTTATTTGATAGAAAATTCAGAATATTATCTCAACTCGTAAGCCAAGAGAGATACACACACACATATATACACATATACATTGCACCAGAGAAAACAGAAAGGGCACGTGCCCTAAAAGCTCAAAACTGAAATTAGTTATGGAACAACTGGCAGATAACTCTTCTGAACAGCTTGCAGGTTAGCACCTATCTTCACAGTTTCCAATGTATTAAATATTTTAATATGGACGGAGGAAGTGCCACTTAAAGTTGTTATCTTTAAGCCTGCCTTCATATAGGTATTTTATATGGAATAGCTTGCCAATGATATGTTGTTGGATAGTTAGTATATCTACTTAGCTCTCCAAAAATAAATATTATGTCATATCGTGTTTTAGTCATGACATACATCAAGCAGCTAACAGTCATTGACTACTCAAGTTGAGATACAACTTTACCTTTTTAGGCATGACCTCTGTATATGAGTATTAAGTAGAGAAAAGTTTTCACAGTTGAACTGGTCCTTTATTGATCTTTATCGGAGCCAAATATCAATGTATAAGCAATTTATAACTTCTCTCACCAGAGGCAACAAATTCCTTATATACATATTTGTGGCCACTGCTTAATAGAAAATCATGTGACAACACAATGTCATCAAACTTTCGATGCCACTATTCAATTTAGGTGTATGCTTTTACAACCTCGACACTTTTTTCAAGCCAAATTGAACTTAAAGTATTATCTTTATTAGAGATTTTAGACAAATACTAGTACTTGTGATTTCAAAAGGTATTAGACAATGCATTGTTTTTGCAAAAATTAATTAATCATACTTGTTGAGTGATTACAATGTGTTAAAACTCAACAAGAGTATTAGAGTTACGAATATAAGACATAATGGAATTATTTAATTAGAACAATTTACGATGTGAATAGCTTAGATAGAAGATGGAACTATTGGTGGCCCTAATATAATGATGGTTTTTGATAAATTAAAATCTCATCCCATCATAATTAGAACAATTCAACGATCTAATAGCAAAAATGGTAAAAGATTATTTACTCTACATCCGTGACAACTTTTATGAAAGATAATTTACAAGAAGAACAAGCAATAATGTTGGTACGAAAAGTTGAAGTAGAAGTGTATAAACCAATGCATGATTTTCTTGAATGGAAGTAAAGAAAATGTAACCTAAATGCCGATAGTGCATGCAAATCAAGTATGAATGATATTTGGTCATACAAAAGAGTATTTAAACTCAATCAAATATTTTCCAGTTCTAAATCATGAGTTGGCATTAAAAGTTAGGACCGATTCCCATGACATTGGTTCACAATGTCATGGAAATCAATGGGTTAAAAGTTAGGACTCCAATTTTACTTTGGCAAAACATTGGTCATACTTATAAGTTTATTTATAATTTTTCATAACAGTGAATAATAGTAGAACTAAAATTATCCGGGTCCGATCCCCAACAACAAAAAAATCAAACTAAAATTTTTATGTTCTTTACTATGATTATTAATTAAGTATATTCCTGTGCACCGTGTGAATGAGTATTGCAGTAGTTCTTAAAGAAAACTTAAAAAATACTTCGTATACTCCCTCCGTCATTGAGTGTCCATCCTTGAGTATTCGTCTGCTTTTAACTTTTTATGGTCGAATTTGATAAACTTTTAGTCTTTGACCTTAAATTGAATAAAAATAATATTAGATATTGATACAAAATCAGTTTTATTTGATTCATTATATCAAATATTTTCAAAATATTATTTTATCTAATTACTAAACAATATATATTATATTTAATTATAGATCAAAGGGTGAAAATAGTTGATTGGAAAAAGTCAAAACTGGACAAATACTACGGGACGGGGGTAGTAGTCAATTTGGTGGCATAGATATTCGGAGTCCATTCCGCTTAATTTATTTTTCAGCTTATTACTTAATTATTCTTACTAAAATATGATCAGATCAAACCATATCACACAAGATCCAATCAAATCACATAAAATCTTTTTAATATCCTTTCATACTAAAAAAAAGTTCACAATTTGACTTGACATAAAGTTTAAGGAAAGTGAAAATGTATGGTTGAAAGTGATGCAAAGGAGAGATAAATATTGTAAGCCACACAAAGTTAAGAAATATCCCTAAGTAGAGTGAAAAAGTATTAAAATTCCAAAATAGGAGTCCTAAGTCTTTTAAGACCAAAATAAAAGTATAATGGCAGTGTGATGTAAGAGTATGTGTTGCTATGTGGGATAAATTGTGATGATAGTGTTATATGGCAGCTTGATTACTCAATCGGGCGATCTGCGGCGACACTCTGGTGGCTGCCGGCGACGGATAGCAGTGTGATAATGATAGTATGGCAGTTGCAATGTGACAATATGGTGAGTATGTCAGTGCAACAATGGCAATGTGAACTATTATTTTGGGCTTAAAAAACTTACGACTCTTATTTTGATATTCTCATAGTTTTCTTATTTTTATTGAGGGAGTTCTTTTTGGGACGAAAGAGTATTAAATAAAACAATAACACGTGAATTAATAATAATAATAATAATGACAACAACAACAACAACAATAATAATAGTAATAATTTTAAAAATAATAATAATAGTAAAAATAATAAGAAGAATGATAATAATAGTACTCCGGTAATAAATAATAGTAATGCAGAGTAATACAACTATTATAATGACTTGAAATTTTATTTGTATGAGATCAGATAAGATCTATTCAAATCAAATGTCTAATCCTATGAGATATAACCATACCAGATCAGATTCAATGAGATCATTTCTAATCATATCAGATCCAATTACACCATCAAATCAGACCAAATCTTCAAAAAAAACAAGATGAGATCCAATCAGATTAGGCAAACCGAACAGAGCCTCAATCCCATCAAGAAGGGGTGTGCATCGGTCCAAACCCGGACTCGGACCGAATAAGGCACTCTTTTTGGACCGACTATCGGACTGAGTAAGATAAAGACCAGACTGGTAAAACTCAGACTGGACCATGACTGAACCAGACTTTTAAAATATCCACTTGTAAAAAGAGTATTAATATTACTAATTTATAATCACCATTATTTAAAAAGTAAAACTTTTAACATAGTATCAAACACCATTTTTTAAAAATTATCAAAACACATACTCCCTCCGTCCCAGAGTATTTGTCTACTTTCATTTTTACACACCATCCAATGCACTTCTTTAATCCATTTTATCTTGTAATTTGTATATTAAAAAATTATACGTAGTAGAAATTATATATTAATAATCTATATGTTAAAACAAATCAAACAAGATCACACATGACTATATTTAGGCTTACACATAAAGAGAATTTGATGAGTCAAAGTGTTTAGATGAACAGTTCCAAAAGTCAAAAGTGGACAAAAACTGGGGGATGGAGGGAGTACTAAACATTATCAATCACCATTATTTAAAAATTAAAATTTTTGACATAGTATCAACACTATAAGAGCATCAATAATGGCGGGGCAAAAATAGAATGTCACACGGTGACGTGAAACATTTTAACCAATAAAAAATAATACAGTCAGCGTGCGGCAAGTGAATGGAGTGGCAAGCTCTACAGTGGCCAGTCATTATTTTTATCAATTTTACATTTTTTATTTTTTTTAAACATAAAAAAATATTTTTATTATTTATTTTATCAAAAAATTAATCTATTTTCTTATACATTTTTTTCATAAAATTTTTTTAAAAAAAACTAAAAAAAAGAAAAGAAAAAAGAAGAGCGGATTGCCACACCCATGTCTCACCAAGCAAGGTACTTTGCCCTTGCCATGCCATGATATGAGAGGAAAGGGCTGATGTGGGGCGTTTCCTTCAGTGCACTTTCAAAATAGGGTGTTTTGAAACCCTCCCTACTTGGCCCAATAATAAATAGACGTGTGGCGCCACATCATTTTAAAAGAAACAATGGTATGAAGTATTTGTTTCTTTATTGTTTACCCCCCGGGACCTCTGTAAATTTAAACTCTCTCTCTCTTTTTCATCCTGTCACGCCGTTCATCCATATCTCTCCATCGCCTCTTTCAAATTTAAACCGACCAATATAATTTTTTCCCTGAAAGAACTGACCAATATAATTGAAACAAAAGCTTATCCCAAAAAATGCAATTAAGCATATAATTGAAATTTAAGCTTAACACAAAAAAATCAGTAATTAACCTTAAGATTTGAACTTATGCTTACCGAATTTCATCCCAAACAATACAAAATACCCATAAATTAATCATACAATCGAATATAAATCCAAGAACTAACACAATTCTTACCAAAAAATCTTGCCAAAAGTAATGAAAAATTCTTACTTTAACCAAATCAAAATCCTCGAAAAGAAATTGAATCCCCTATTCCCCCAAAGAAACTCACATAGTCACATGAATGAAAAAATTTTAAAAATGAAACCTAAATTTACCGGAGATGGTACACGAGAATGGAGAGGGGCAGCCGAAAATTCTAAGAGAAGAAGAAAGTCAGACTAGAGGGAGAGAAAATCATGGATGTTCGAGATACAGAGGCTAATAATTGCTAGGAGGTCCTGGGATCAAACAGTGGCCATTAGGAGAAATGTGCAGCCGCCATGGTAGTGGCTTGAGAGACGGAGGAAACGGCGGTTCGACGGAAAGAAGAATTAGGAATTAGTTTAGAATTGCAATTAGGTCCCTCGGGGCTAAACAACAAAGAAACAAATACTTCATAGTTCATAGACTTCATACCATGGTTTCCTTTAAAATGATTTGGTGCCACACGTCTACTTATTATTGGGCCAAGTCGGGAGGGTTTCAAAACACCCTATTTTGAAAGTGCCTTGAAGGAAACACCCTGATGTGGCAGTGCAAGACATTTCTCTTCTCTGTCGCTACACATGCTCCAATTAAATCATGCATGTCGTTGAAAAAATAAACTTAAAAGTCAACAATAATACTAGTGGAGTTCTCCGTACAACACTCATTGAGGACAAAGATGCTTTAAAGACTATTGTGTGTCACAACCCGACATTCAAATCTTACACATATCTTTTTTTAGTAAAAATAGTAAAAGACGCTATTTTAAAAGGATGTAAAAAATGTTTAAAA